CTAGTATAGGATGTATTTTACGCCTGCACAGATACTAACATCCTTTCTGATTCTGCCGCAACGCAGTGACGCGTTTCGGATCGAACGAGCAGTGTGCTTAGTGAGAGTTATTTAACGTTCTCGATAGCGTAAAAGTTAACTCAAATTTGTATGTAGTTGGAACAGCGCCCCTAGCGGCAAACTTAGGCAAACGTTCCAACTTCATACAAAGGGGATGGCCCATTTTAGGCCCAAAGCGGACAATAGATTATAGAAAAAATACTTAGTGCATTAATTTTGTCATAAATAAATATGCATTTACTTTCTTGTAAATAAGCGCCACTATAGTTTACAATAAGTAGTTTAAAAAAAGTAACTCTATTGAAAAAACAAGGATTTTTATTTTTGCGGGAAAAATATTGCCAGCTTCAAATCCTTTTACGTATGAAGTAAATATTTTGAGTATATAAATAAAACATATAAATAAAGCATTTTAAGTATTATCATTAATCAAACGATTTTAATGGATTTTATGCACATAAAATAACATCGAAGACATACCCATTGGACTTTAACTTGTAACTATACTTGAGACCTTAGAACTTATATCTCAAGGTGGGTGGCGCATTTACGTTGTAGATGTATGTGGGCTCGAGTAACCACTTAGCAACACCAGGGTGGCTGTGAGCTCGCCCACCCATCTAAGCAATAAAAAAAACTTTACTAGTATTGTTATTTAAATATGTACAACTAAAACAAAAACATAAAAAATAATGTGTACTCGTAAAAAAAAGATTAAGATATAAATCAATTATCGGTTATTTAAAAAAATAATCGATATATGAATTTCATGTAATTATTTTTCTTTATACTGACAACACTGAATTTAATCTGACTGACTGACACTTCGCTTGCTGCTTGTGGTGTTGTGCTTGCGTACAAAATGGATGTGTTTTGATTTTTCTTCGATTTATTTTACTTTTATCAATAACGTTTCATACTACGACTAAAAAACATTGTGTGAATTGTGGTTTTACCCTGACCGAGATTTAAAACCGTGTATATGCTCTCCTTTGCTATTTTTAGATGATACTAATTGTGTATGAAGATGAAGAAAATATAGATATTTAAAGAATTAAGTGTGTTTTTATACCCTATTGGATAAAAATACATTAGGAACATCTTAAACATTAAGAAAAGAAAAGTTCTTGAAGTATCTCACAATCCGACACTTATTTATATAGAAAATTAACCTCAAAACGAGTTTTTATTTTTATTATATTTTTTATAATAGTGGCGTCAATTTCAATATATTTTTTAGATATCCAATACATTTAAGAATTTGAATCAGTACATTTTTATAGTAATATTTGATGTCCATCTTGGGCCTAACACACTATGGAGAGTGGGCAATCCCCTTTGAGTTAACGCTATCGAGAACTTTAAAAAGCTCGCACTAAGCAAATAGCTATAAAATTGGGACTTCTACGTCAAATCTGAATGCGTTCATGTTATGGACTCTGATAACGACTTTACAAAAGTTGGATTGTCGTGAGCTTGTTCTTCGATGAATTTGAAAAAAACCTCAAAAAAAACGATAAAGTAAACCATTGAAAATATGTACTACGAAATTTGATATCTCAATTCAAATCATATTAGGAGCTATATTAGAAGTTGTCATAGCCTAAACGATAAGACGTCCGGTGCATTCGTATCGAGCAATGAGACTGTGCCGGTGTTTGAATTCAGCAGGCAGATATAAATTGTTGAAGTGAAACTTCTAATGCGACTTCCAACAAGGTTGCGTTACACGTTTAACGCCATCATGGATAGAAAGAGACAGAGCGAGAGTGAATTAGTGGTACTTGAACGTATGCGCGTAGTATACCTGTTACAGGCCAGCGCGAGCGTTAGCAACGAGTAGCTCCAATATTTTAATGAAGTATTTAAAAAAATACATATATTTTTATCTATAATTTAAAATCTAAATAATATAAATGTTGAAGATGTCGCATCTCTTATACACAGCATTACCTATTGCAAGAGCAATCTAATTTAAGGATAAAAATGAAGAAAACCACAATACTACACGTCGAAGAAGAAGTTTCACTTCATTCACGTGCATCAAGTTGCATAATTCACGAATGTCTTCTCCGAATTCATATTTAGGAGTCTTGAACCAAAATAGCAGTGTTGCCATAAATAACTTTTGTAATAATGACAGAAGCAATTCATTGATTTTAGTAGCTCTCTTAGATCGGCAAATGGGCGCACGGTCAATTTGGCGTGACGAAAAATCTGCGATGTAGATTTGAATCTAGGCTTCAAAGTTTAATAGAGTAGGATTTTTAATCCGTATTAATTATCAGCGTAATATCTTTGGTTTGCCAAATTTACGTTTTAATGAGGATAAACAGAAAATGGCTTTGCTTTTTATCAAGCAAGACGTGTGCTATGAATTTATTTGTGTTTTTTGTTGTTTTTTTTTGTTTCTCAAATCTCTGAAATATTTAACGAACATTTCATAGATTTAAAATCAGGCAAATAATATTAATATTTTTTCTACGGTAACCTTATCTATGTTTGTACGTTTTAAGCGTATAATTTTATTTAGGATATATTATATTTTGTGATTATGCTTTTGGACGACCAACAAATAAAAAAGAGTAACAATATTTAAAAACTGTATTTACATTTGAGGAATGAAATGTGTGTTGTTCCTTCAAAAACACAATCACATTGTGGATTTAAAAATATACTTTAAAATAATACAAGCTAGTATTTAAATAATTAATTTACATTATATAGTACGAGATACTATAATATTGAGAATTATTACTTTTTCAAATCCATTAGTGTTTGCAGTAATTCTTTATTTATATTAATCAATTGGAATGAATATAATGACAGATATGATACGATCGATATCGTATCGATATGATATCGATATCGTATCGATACGGTACGATACGAATAATTTCTGACGTTTCGTTTCGTGTTATAGTTTATGTAAATAATTGTAAATAGATATGCTTTAACAAAAATCGACTTCAAATAGAAAAAAAAAGATATTCCAAAACAAATTGATATACACTAAAAACAATAATCATCGAAATCGGTTGGCGTTATATTAAGTTATTGAGTTATTCATCTATTTTTTTATTGGTGGTAGGACCTCTTGTGAGTCCGCACGGGTAGGTACCACCGCCCCGTAGGTACAGTATTATATTTCTATGTAATATTTGTATTTAGGAATCGAATCCACGACCCTCGGCGCAACGGTCAGAAGCGCTAACTACTTGATCACCGAGTCAGTTATACGTACATCAATACTGTGCTTCTATTCATTATATTCATTCCCAATGATCGTCTTATTCATGTGTTCTTACAGCGAGCATTCGTTAGCAAATTTGAAATGAACGATGGAGAACTTGGTTCTTGCTTATACTCCTGCGAATTCAGCATTCGTATAAGAAATAAGCTAATACGGCAAAGTCACAAAAAATACTAAATGAAACAGTGAATTTAATAATAAAAAGATATGTGGTGCCGTGGGACACCGGATAGAAACGAAGTTCCTTATTATAAAAATATTAATTTTAAGTTCTATTCGAGGTATAAAAAAAATAAAACTGGAGATTTCGCAATAACCTACGGTCATTCGGTAACGTGCGAGCTTATTGTGGTACACTTCATTCACGGTTGTTTGCATAAGAGTTAGTGTATTGCGCAAACGAACGCTCTGAGATCGTGGTCAATGAATGATAAAAAAAATATGTTATTTTTTGTATGTTATTACAAAGTTAAGTCGTACACTGTGTGCATTACTAATAAAAATCTTACGTTACGGACGTTTTTTCCCGGTTTGGGTACCCCTCCGCATCGTCCCATAAGGAACTTCGTTCCAAAAGCTAATGTCACAGCTTACAAAGCTCGACTGCTCGTTCGTCGAATTCTGTTTGCATACGAATGCTCGCAATGAGAAAGCACACAAAAAATATCCAACAATTATCTACTAACATTATTCGCTAAAAGTTTAAGAAATGAGCGCGTAATTACAATTGTCTATGAAAAAATTGAACAAGAAAAATCATTGTAATTCTGCACCACAACTATTTTTTTTTAAAGATAGAAGTTACGAAATTCAAAATTTATTTATCAAGTTTCTGTAATCTTTTTTCTATTTAGCTTCACAGGTATTCAACCTTTAAGTATAATTTCATATTTACCCGACAGGAACTTTCTAGGCGTCATTTAAGCCTATTTAATTTATTATAGTTAATGTTCTTGGTGTTCCTTCGTCTTCTACCCCCGATTCGGTTGAAATTTTGTACAGTTATTGTCGTCACTTCAAGGAAGATTTCTATTGTAAACCATGCAAACATAATAGTGTAACAGATAGAGTTGTTACCACAAATGAATACACAGTACATCCTACATCAGGATAAGTAAAAGCAAAACGCGAATGAATTCGCTATTTCTCGAAGAAATAAAAACAAAAGTAGCTAATATCTAATAATAATAAAATAGCTAATATCATTAAAAATAAGTCAGATAATTGTGGACGCTGTAGTTGTATGACGCTGGGTTTCTTTACAGGGAAGGCTGTACAAATATCCCTAATTTTAATATTTATAATATATGGTTAATAAAATTGCGAAATAAATAAAAAATTAAATTGTTGTCTTTAGCATAGATGAAACAAATGTTTTCTCTCTCTTTTGTTATTCTTTCCTCCTCCAAAACAATTATTTTGTTTCGATCTTTCCAAATTCTCTTTGTGTGTAAGAAAATGTAGTCGAAAATTGACCCTGTGGAACTCGCAAAGAAATTAACCTTACAACGTACAAAATATTATAAAACACTAAACAGGCCTAAAAATTTGAAACTATCAGTAAAAAGGTTTATTTATTGCTTTTACGCTGACCATTCAATACATTCCACATTTAAAAAAAAGTCTAAACATACTTTAAAAAAAAAAAAAACTAAATGGATTAAGATTGTCTGCGTTTCAAGGAATCAACTTCTTTGGAAATCGAATCATATTAACTAAGATCATCTACAAAAAAACAAATTTATAATTGAAGTAGTTGTAAAATAAATACAGGATCTAAAACTGCACGTGCTAGATGTGCCTAGTACTAGTACCCAGTAGTAATACCTGGTACAACTAGTACCTAGTAGCTAGTACCCGATATTAGTGAATTAAATTCATAATTTCGTTCTTTCACGCAGCAATGGATGTGTGTTTGTCCAACATTGACAAATCCATTGCTCTGTGAATTTTAATTTTGTATCAGAGAAAAATGTTAAAATATCTTCCGATAGACGGGCGAACTCGGGTTCCACCGAGAGCTATACAATTACAATGCGGCATGTAGAAATAAGCTCTAGTTGAAAACAGAAATGGTCCGGCCAGGGTCAGACACCCCTAAAATCACTTTTATAGTCCTGAAATTAATTAAACCATCAACGCACGTTGTAAAGACCCGGTGTTGCTCGCTGCTGGGCCAACATTATCCTGTTGGCGACACATCTGTAGCAACACAGGTAGGCCAAACATCACTTGAACAGTATCCTCCGAAACGCGCGCCTAAAATCCTTGTTGAAGATCGTGTAGATGACCGGATTTAGTACCGAGTTCATGTACCCCAACCAAAACGCTATGGCGAAAGCACTTGATGGTATCACGCAGATTCTGCAGGCGGCTTTTAAGATGTAGAGGAAGAAAAATGGCAGCCAACAAGCTATGAAACTGCCCATAATTAAACCTAAGATCAGAGTGGCTCGTTTCTCTTTTTTTCTGGCCAGTCTTTTCTTTTCTCTTTCTGGGTCACGAGGTTTGTGCGGCTTGGGTAATGCTGGTTCTAATTCTGATTTGTGAGGTTGAGATTTTTCTTGTCTTCTATCGGTCTTTTTGAAGATACGAAGCTTTAATGGTTTGACGCCTCCGCAGCGACTGACGACCCCTGAGTCTGATGATGAGGGCTCCATCTCGGAGACCATGTCGGCGTCGATGGCGACACTGGGCGCTCTACACCTCGCCTGCTGCAGAGCCAGTTCTCCGTTCACTGATAGCGTCGAACTCCTATGTGGGCAGGACGCGAGTGGATTTTTTGTTACTTGAGCTGATGTTACTACCTGAGAATATGAAAATGACGTCATTAAACTTTCAACTTCAAGCTGCTAATTTTCAATCGATACATTTTCAAATCATAGTTGTCGAAATCGCAGCCAGCCCTACTGAGGTTGAGGTACTTTTTTTTTCCTACCTAAGCTGAGAGGCTATTTCAGCGTAACTTTAGCTAGTAGGTGAGCTCACAGCTTGAGCCAAGCCGGAGTGATGCTAACACTGACCCTAACAAGAGCAGTGCTTCGCAGAATCTACCATCGGATCGGAAACGCGACCCACTGAGAAGATCCAGCGAGAAACTCAGTGGGCAGTACCATTTAAGGGCTCTTCACTTGTTTTTAAGTACGACAGAGGATAGGCTAAAGTGTTCTATTTCGCTGTAATGAGCGCAATGGATCCAAGGAATATTGATGGACGATTTTTTTGGTTCTCACCTTCAAGGTGTCCTTTCTCTCGTCAGGAGGAGGTGGAGCTGCGTCTCCTGCTTCGCTCGTCGATATATCAGAAGCCAGCTCGCACGTGACCGTAGGTATTTGCACTTGGGGCGCTTCGATGGTCGAGATCTGACTCTCTCTGGAAGGAAAAACGAGAGGAGATTGATGAGGTCTAGTCTTGTAGGTTATTTTAGAGAAAATCAAAGTTATAGTAATTGCATATTTATAAGAAATGTTAGATTAAAAATGCTGAGAAAACATTGTTTAACAATGAGAGTACCAAAAATTGCTCAGCTGCCATATTAATGAACTGACATCAGAAGTACACAATGTACAGGTAGTGGGAATGTGAGATTTGGAATGAAAAAAGGGAGGATAGCTATATTGGGTTCTTTCTCATGTATTTCACATTGCGATTTCTATGTGCTATAATAATCTTTCTATAGTAGATGGGTTGTGAGGTAATTCAGTCATTTACAATGTAAAAAGAAAGCGGACTATAAATGTAACAAAGTTTAAATATTGAGCCACACATAACGCAAGATGCACATTGCTGTTGATCTTGTTATTGCCATAAAAATTCAGGCTTTTTTTTATTGGTTAGGTTGGTGGACGAGCTCACAGCCCACCTGGTGTTAAGTGGTTACTGGAGCCCATAGACATTTACAACGTAAATGCGCCACACACCTTGAGATATAAGTTGTAAGGTCTCAAGTATACTTACTTACAACGGATGCCCCACTCTTTAAACCGAAACGCATTACTGCTTCACGGCAGAAATAGGCGGGGTGGTGCTACCTACCCGTGCAGACTCACATGACGTCCTACCACCAGTAAAACCAGTAAAGCCACCATGCGAGAGAGATACCAACGTGCTCCTACCGTGAACACATTTTCCCTTGAAAATATCAATTTGTAATATTAATTTAATATAGATAACTTAAAATTGCGAAGGTCTTTTCACATTTTATTAATTACGCTAATAATTTATTGTTATGCGTCAATATTGCACCAAAGGTACCGAATTATGAATATGTTTTATTCTTTGAATATCTGTATGGTGGGTACATCATAATAAAATAATTTCAAAGTAAATCTAGAAGCGTTAAACTAGTTATTATATAATATTAAAAGTACTTATCTACCTCTAAAGCCAAAGTTTGAAAGCTTAGAGAGTTCTATACCAGCGCCTTGGGGACTGAAGTGCTTCTAACATTCAAAGCTTGGGTCTAATTTCAACAACCAAAAAGCTCGCTGCAGGGGTCAATTCATAAGCCCGCAAGCTAGTTTATATAATCGAAACGCTATTTGGAAAGTGGTATCTAGATTCTAACTAGAGTTTTTTTATTTTATTTATTTACTAGCTGACCCGGAAAACGTTGTTTTGCCATATAAATTATTTCTAGGAAAGATAAATAGCCTATATACCGACTGAAGCGCCATCTAAATCATCCAGGGCGCCACCCAAATGCATACAAAAAAAATCATTCAAATCGGTCCAGCCGTTTAGAAGGAGTTCAGTGACAAACACACGCATAGAAGAAATATCTTATCTTATCTTATCTTATCTTATACCTTTAAACGAACAATTCTTGTATATTAATATATATATATAATCTGAATCTCGGAAACGGCTCCAACGATTTTCATAAAATTAAGTATTAAGTATTAAGCGGTAGGCAGCGGCTTGGCTCTGCCCTTGGCATTGCTGAAGTCCATGGGCGACGGTAACCACTCACCATCAGGTGAGCCGTATGCTCGTCTGCCTACAAAGGCAAAAAAAAAAAGTATACGGGGGATTTCGGGGGCGATAAATCGATCTAGCTACGATTTATTTTCAGAAAATGTTGTTTTATTCGTGATTTCAATAATCAACTCTTCCCGACATCTATCGGCGAATAATAATACTATTTTTCTTAATTGAGGGCAACTAACCGCTTTAAAGAAACAACAAGATGGCGTTATCAAAAAAAAAAAAAAAAAACGAGCAAAGCTCGGTCATCATCTAGTATATATAAAGGAAAAATTAGGCACACAAAACACATTACAAGGTAAAAAGATACACAATAAATAACAAGAAGCAAAAAATCTGGCTTGCAGCATAAGCCATGCGCACGACTAAACAAGACTAATGTGCTGAGTTTGTACACAATGTTCCTTAAAAATATAGGAAAAAACAACACGATAACGAAAAATAATCTAATTTATAATGTAACGAAATAATTTTGCTCACAATAAACATCTAAGCAATAAATAAATAAAACGGGTGTACGAGCTCACAGCCCACCGAGTGTTAAGTGGTTACTGGAGCCCATTGATATCTATAACGTAAATGCGCCACCCACCTTGAGATATCAGTTCTAAGATTTCAAGTTACAACGGCTGCCCCACCCTTCAAACCGAAACGCATTACTGCTTCACGGCAGAGATAGGCAGACTGGTGATACCTACCCGTGCGGACTCAAAATAGGTCCTACCACCAGTAAAGACTTTTACATAAATTATAATATACATATATCATATAAAATATGATGCCGACATCTTTTGCTTGTCACTTGTAGCATATGGAAAAGCTATTTTAAAATATTTATAAGGTGATTTAGTCCGATGGGTGTAGTTTTATAGTGTAAGTTGATGTACAAAATAATATGTGCGTATTGTGTTGCTTTTGTTTTTTTTTTGTAACTTAAATTTCTAAGTTTCTCTTCTCTGTTCACTTTCTACTGACTATATGTGATTTTGATTGTGGAAACATATTTGGTTATTGTTTTAGCAATTTTTTGAAAATATTATATGTTTGTATTGTACTGTTTGTTTCCCAAATAAATAAATATTTACGTAAATTACACTACTCAACAAATGTTTACGATTGACTTCCACGGTGAAAGAATAACATCGTGTAATAAAAATTAAACCCGCAAAATTATAATTCGAGTCCGCACGGATAGGTACCACCATCCTGCCTATTTCTGCCGTGAAGCAGCAATGCGTTTCGGTTTGAAGCGTGGGGTAGCAGGTGGTGGGCTAACTATATTGAGACTTTATATCTCAAGGTGGGTGGCGCATTTACGTCGTAGATGTCTATGGGCTCCAGTAACCACTTAACACCAGGTGGGCTGTGAGCTCGTCCATCCATCTAAGCAATAAAAAAAGGAAAACTTAATCTACTATTAACATGGGGGATACTCTGGACATTTTTATAAACGTCTATAATCTACAAGTAAAAATATTCAACTCATTTTCAACCTTGTACAATAACAAGGATAAAATATTTTTTGACCGTGCACAATCATGGCAGGGAATATTTTCTTACCCGTTATTGTTCGTGCTTAGATGGCACTGTGGCATGGGATGCGTCGTGGGCATTGGCCGCGTCCCCTTCGGAGCGCTACTGAAACTCGTCTGCTGATCATTCTGGAGCAAAGAAGTCCGTATATCAGCTTTTGTGTTGTCAGAGTTTGTACGGCCTGACTCGGCGAAATTCGCTTTTGGTGGCATTATCAAGAACAAAATGGACTTTTTGACGGGAACGCGAGGAGTGAAGTTGTGTTATTTGTTTTATTTTGTCTATTTAGTGTTTCTTTAGGTTTAAATGTGTAATAACAGTGGTTTATTAACTGTTTAATATCTGTGAAACTGCACAAATGTGGGAAAATGAAACAAAGCAGCTGGACGTAACTTCTCGGGATCCTTCAAAAAGTCCACTGAAAAAATCTCAGTAAGTGACCACCATTTTACTGAGATTATATTTCATCCCATATCATCTCATCTCATTTCATTTAATTTCATCCCAGTTGATTAATGTCTCAAATTAATCATCTTCATTTCATTTCACTCCATATTATCATTTTTCATGAAATCGAGAATTAAAATTAAATAAGATATGACTTAAAGGTCTTAGTTACCAGGTCATAAAATCCCTTAAAAATCAAGAACAAAATTGATCTACCCTCAGTTCTACGGTCAAGGTCTTAAACCTCACGTCCCGAAATGGGTGGAGGTATTTCCACTATATTTTTTAAAAGCTCTGGTATCTGCTTAACGCTAGATAAGTCGGAACGATAAACCAATACAGGATGCTTTTTGTTTGTTCAAGTTCAAACAGCTTAGGTTCGTTACACATTAACATCGCGGAGCTTTTTTGAATGCTGAATTCGGCTGACGACTAGTCAGACTTTGTATGTACTGCACATCATGCGGCAGAAATTGTGCATACACTTGATAGATGCAATGATTGTTAAGCAACAAGAATCTTCACTATGTTTCCCATTGTCCTATTAAGATTATGTAAACTGCCACCCCATAATACCGTCGTGAAATTCATATCAGAATTGTCTGTGATTGGACATATTAGGAGCGTAATACAGAAGATGTTAAGAATCAACTATTTTATCCAAAGGTACTAAGATAAGAGAGCAATATTAGAGAGTCATCTAAATTCCTTATCGCGAATAGGAATACTTACAGGTCTCGGTCGAGGATTTTTTCTGATGCCCCGTCTCGCTCTGGCCTTCGCTGCGTAGTATATCCTGATGTAGACAAACACCATAATGCAGGACGGTATGTAGAAGCTACCCAGCGCTGAGTAGACCACGTAGCCGATGTCATCTGAGACCTAAAGAGAAGCCAGAAGTCAGAACTTTAGAATAATTAGTTTTAATTAGAATAATCTATACTAATTTTTGTTTTTTGTTTTTGTTGCTTAGATGGGTGGACGAGCTCACAGACCACCTGGTGTTAAGTGGTTACTGGAGCCCATAGACAACTACGACGTAAATGCGCCACCCATCTAGAGATATAAGTTCTAAGGTCTCAAGTGCTTCACGGCAGAAATAGGTAGAGTGGTGGTACCTGCCCGCGCGGACTCACAAGAGGTCCTACCACCAGTAAAGTGGAATCGAGATACATTCGTAGCCTGACTTAGGAGGAGTGAAGACGTCTCGGAACTGACATCGTTCCGTGCTGCGCAAGCTCTTTGCACGATTACCCACCATACGCACACAATGTCAAAAAGTAATGAAGACATCGGTCCATTCTGCAACAAATATATATTCTGATTGAACCGATTCTAATAATAATAATAATAAACATTTATTCCAAACACAAATTAAGTACAAAAAATAAATAAAAAAGATAACAAAAATAACGAGGCTTGGAAGCGGTTACCGGCTCAGCAATGCCTAACAGTAACGAGACAATCGGTACTGCGGCGCTGATCTTCCGCCGGCACCTGCGGAGTGACGCGCACACCAGCATCAGACCGACTAATACACAACATTGTAAAATATATTAAAAAAAAAAAAGAACATGAATAATAAAAAAAAAAAAAAAAAAACAGTTATGAAAAGGACAACAAAATGACATTATTAAATTAATTAAATAAAAATTGCAGTTGCAAAGCACAATTAATTATAGTATATTCTCGGATATACATACATAAATGTCATTCTTTATAGCAATAGAAAGAGCCAAGGACTATGAGAATACAAATTAAAGTCGAACCTTGGCTAGTCGAATAGTTCCTTACAGATCTTACTAAAGTCATAATTTAGATACTGTTATTGAGGAACACTTCCGGCCTCACATAATATGTGAGCCGTTATTTACGAAGTTGGTCAGGTACGTCCTAATGATTAGACAATACTTATTATTGTTTTATAATATAATCAGTAATTTTATAATCAAGTGAATAGTTGATTCATATTTCTTACTTATAATATTTTATGGGCGTCTTCCGCTTGACAGCTTCCGGCGCAATAAGCCTTTAATGTTATTTATGTTATATAATTCGATATTATTAAATAATAATTGTACGTAAATAATCTACAGAATAATTAAGATAAACAATGTTTAATGTTACCTATTCAGTTTGTATTAAAATAGATCAAGATGACTGTAAATAAAAATACCGGCGGTTAGCATATTTCTATTCATTCGTATTCTACCCATCCTGACGTGATATTAAAGAGAATATAATATTATTTCGTGTGAATATAAAGTAGCTCAATTGTCGATGACACCCAGATAATCCTTCTACAATACCATAGAATGCTATCAACCTTGAGCTATCGTGAACTTCAACATTTTATACTTAGTAGCGAAAAAGAGACATGTTGGTACCGAGGATCGATGCTGATTTCTGAAAAGGTATACAAATAAAATAAAATGTATCTGAAACTTAATCGCGAAACTGTGAATGTTAATAATTGCCAAGAGAATCTGACATCACGCTAGAACTAAAACACGCAAAAACCAAATTTGTTCGCAAGTTTACCTATATAAAATGAGCCATCGTTAAAAGTTAATTCTTTATATTTTTGGCTAAAACTTTGGTGCACGGTCTACAATTAGTTATTCTCGAAGACCTCTCGCAGCCACTCATTAATTCCTGAACCGGTCATCTCTGGAGTCTATTTTTCATATGAGCTTTCACTCCGTTATCTCCGCTCCCACGGTCCTTTGTTAACGCACAATAGATTTCAAGATTAAATTTCTTTGAAACGAACTTTTGAAATAAAATTCTCGACGGCCAACTTCCCGACTGCATTAAGGCTTAGACGAAGATATTATGTTGACCATTATATAGAAATAAAAAAGGTAATGCTTAGATCAATTTGAACCAACCTTGATTATTGAATCAAATCGGTCCTTTTTTGATAACCAACCTTATTCGCCAGTACTTTTGATGATTTCACAATTGATCAGGCTTTTTAAAACATTTATATTTCGCTAGGTGTTCATAATTAGTTGAGTGGATACGATAGCCTAAAGACATAGAGTGTCAGTTGTATTACAAAGTTGATAATTAAAAAATATTTCGAAGCGAGCCGTCGGAATTAAATTTGTCTACTCTAAAAAAATCTGGTATTTACAAGGCCCCTTAAACGACACGAAGTCATGGAATCTACGTGTGAACTGATTTATGGTTATGATACATTGCCTGTATTTTAATTTTTAACTGCAGACAATCATTGTTTAAAGAGCATTATATTATTTAATGTAATGCTGTGTGGATGTACTGTTCGCTCATGTTTACTCCATTCTCTTGAAGGCATAAAAAAATACTGATTAGGCATTCATTTACTTCTTTTCTATTGAAATCAAGGCGGTCGAACCTCCCAAAATACCAATAAAAACCCATATCACAAATCATCCACAGCACTTAATACATTATGACATCTGACCGCCCTTCGAACGATCCCACAGCACTCGTTGTTAAATACGCGAGCGGTATGGACATTCAAATAAACTGCCCATTTATGATCATAAAACGTTTGGAGACAATGGGCCTCAACGAATGAGGCATAGCGGTAATCGCGAACTACGTTTTGTTGGTTCATTTATAATGGTCATATCTTTTAATATGTATTGTAGCCCGGCTAGGTAGGTAGGCTTGTGATGGTGAGTGATGGTGAGTGGTTACCATCGCCCATGGACTTCAGCAATGCCAGGGGAAGAGCCAAGGCCTATCGTTAAGTACAGTGTGCGATCGATTTTAATTTCTTGAATGAACATTTGTTCTAGATATTCTCAATTAAGCATTTGAACTTAGACTGCGATGGTGTGGTGAAGGCCCAGAATGACATCACCCTGTCTAGTTTGAGACACATGTCTCGTTGAAAATAACATCTCATACTTAAATCCCATTGTTAGAATGGCACGACAATATAACGAGATGGCAAGTAGCAACATTGATCTTGATATATTTGAGAATAATTCTTATAAATATTGTAAATTACTTAAACATATTCTCAAATAATTAATATTGTCCAGTTGATGATACAGTAGATTTAATTTAATTAGATAGAAACTTACATATGTGTGTGTGTGTGTGTGTGTGTGTGTGTGTGTGTGTGTGTGTGTGTGTGTGTGCGTGTGTGTACATGGTATTTGGGCATCTGTTCAGTTGTTAAATTTTTTCTGTATGCACCTGTCTTGAATTGCAATCCAGATTGTTATGTTAAACATTTATACTAATAATTTCTATGGTTGTAATTTGTTTTGTGCGTCAATAAAAAGAAAAAAAAAAGAAGACCACTGAAGGATTTATCCGAGAATTTACAGCATTCTCTGATGGTGACCTCATGACCTTAAAGCTTATCGAGATATCGACCAAGATTATTTTGAAAAGACTATGGAATCAAATGTTATTATATTTTCTTGGTAAAGTTCACACGAAGGAATCTTGATTCATTCCAACTCTCTATTGTTATGAGACAATGTGTGAAATTGTATTGTATAAAGTTATCATCTAGATAAAGTTAAATCGAATCTTGGAGATGCGAAAAAGATAATTTTCCAATAATTTTTATAATAAAAGATATTTGATCATTGACGAGGTCTTATGTCTTTTAAGTCTCAGGCCCCTAGAGATGTGGAAAATCATAATTTTAACATTTCTTTGGACGTTTTTTCGATCTTCAAGGCTATTTTGAGTTGAATATTAGGAGAAAGATCAACTAATTTATTGATGAGGGCGACAGCAATTGTTGAAGGTGTATTTTTGCTCACTTAGTAATATTCCTTATATCTGAAGTCATAAGGGTCGTGGTAGGTAGCTTCGGGGAGCCCGTCCCAAAGACGTCACGGCTTCGTTATGATTTTTTCAAGGGGCTATTCCGACTACGCGCGATATGGTAGGTGATCTCACGGGTCTCGACCTGGGATGACATGCTAACGTTTTCCCTATTCGCTGGCAGCCTAAGAGGCTAATCTAGCTACACCCGGATGGGTAGGTGAGCTCACGGACTTAACCTGAGAGATTTTGCTAACACTAACCACCAGACACCACACACTAGACACCACCGGATTGGAATCGCGACCCACTGAGAAGATCTATGGGTGTGGTGGAGGATGCTACGAATACCGTGATCTGCCATGAGAACTAACGAATTCATTTTCAGGGAGCTAAGCATCCGAAAAAGGCTCTCTGCTCTTTTCGCCGAGATTGTAGGTGAACTCACGGAGCTCAAACCTGACGACGTTGCTAACACGAACCCTAACAGGAGCCGTGCTACGCAGAATCTACCAGCGGATCGAAAACGCGACCCTCTGAGAAGATCCGGCGAGAAACTCAGTGGGCTGTGCCTGTGGGTTAATTTATTCGTTGAGCCCATTGCAAGTGACGGGTTTGACGAGAACGATGATCGGCATTGTTTAACTGGAAAGATACAACTGCTTTGCTTAGTAAGTACTTCATGCAGGCCATCCGTGCCGACTTGTTCTCACTACAACAGCACTGAATCCGTTATTAATTTGTTTCTGTACAAAGCAATGATCTTATACCTTTAAACGAGCAATTCTTGTATATATATATATATAATCTAAATCTCGGAAACGGCTCCAACGATTTTCATATAATTTAGTATACAGGGGATTCCGGGGGCGATAAATCGATCTAGCTGCGATTTATTTTCAGAAAATGTTGTTTTATTCGTGTTTTCAATGATCAACTCTTCGCGACATCTATTGGCGAATAATAATACTATTTTTCTTAATTGAGGGCAACTAACCGCTTTGAAGACACAACAAGATGGCGTTATCAAAAAAAAACCTAGCAAAACTCGGTCATCATTAAATAATTAAGTAAATAAGTCGCGAATTGTATTTCGATTT